AACAGTTTTTCCACAGATCATCATGCCATTGCTGGATCGAGTTCGTGTGCAGACCCGAAGCGCATCGACAGAGCGTGCAAGTGGCGCCCTTCTAATGCATCATTCTCGAGATACTCAACAGAAACAATGGACGGAGACCTGCATACATACCTTATCAGCCGCGTCGAAGATATTCGTTGCTCAACGTAAAGCTCTGTTAGCTTTAGGTATGTCTTGAGACCTTTACAGCTGTAGCTCATGTGTAACTGCCAGCACAACTGTCTGTAAGTAGGAGTTGTGGTAGGAACGACTGTGGGTAATTTGAATCAAATCCTGTTTAGAAGATTTCGGATCAGCATGGGAAGCGTTGCTGTCATATCTTGAGTGGGCCTCGTGCTATCACAACGCCGAGCTTTCCCTATCCGCTCTCAAAAGCTTCCAGGTTCCAACCAAACTGTTATGTCCCTTCAAAGTTCATGTTCCGGCTTCATTTGATTGCTTTTTAGGAGGTTCTACTCGGAAAGATATCTAATCAGACGTTGGATATAAACTATCGTGAGCGAGCAAGCAGGTAGTGTATCCGTTTCTCTTTATGAAGTGGATCATTTCGATTTCCGTGTTTCGAAACCAAGGGATCTAGCAGAAGCTTTTCTCGGTATTATCTTTGGACTCCTCACATTTTCATGATTTTTCCCCTCTGGTAATCATTTTGTTAGAAATCTGGTTACCATTGACCTTTTATAGCTTCATTTTTTAATCCAGCCCACACATTTCCAGAATTCTTACTCATTGAGGGATCTGGATGGAAATTTTTGTCCAGTTTTAGTTTGACCCTTCAAGAGTGTATCTTCTGATGCGAAGACTGACTGCGCATGCACAGGAGTCGCTGGCGCTAGAACGCTTCAGACCACCGAATCAGGTCGAAACTTTTTTCCGGGTGTACTGTGATTCCTTGAATACGAGGGCATATCCTTTGGCACGAGAATACGTGGCGTCCGTGCCAAACGGATGTGATGTCCCCGTACATGGGGTCAGACTACACTTGCTGATGAGTTTCAATGAAATCTGGCCTAAGTTGAAAAAAAGGGTGAATAGTGTGAAGAATACCTATGCCTGAGCCACCGGATATTTCTGCATCGTTTATGAGAAGAAATGATTTGGAGCAGTAAACTGGAGGTCACGCTCTGCCGTTGGGAGATTCTTACAAAAAACGATCCTTTCCCCTCTAAATTTCCACCTTTGGTACGTTATCCTTTCCCATCCTACCTGCCATCTTCCTGAATTTTTCCAGCTTTCCATCACCTTTTTTCCCCAAAAGTCCCCAGTTTTCCTCTAGGGAGCTGCTGTGCTTTTTCGAATACGAGACGACTTCTTCCTCTAGCGGCCAAATACGGCCCACCTTGCTGGGGATCCTCAACGTGCGACTCCTGCTTACTTAGCTTGCTACCTATGGCTCTCTCTTTCCCTCGGTCATTTGTTTTTTCCATCTGCTGAGTTCTTTTAATAGTTTATTATTGTTTTTCTCTTGATTCTTATATATTCAGTGTGGAAAGCTCTGCTGAGGACGTGACACCGTTTCTTCCTTTGCCGCAGTGGATTGAGTCATGGAATGTGAGTTGAAATTTTTTTTAGTTCCTTTATGTTTCTTTATGAAGTGGCAGAAAATGGTCGCAAATCCTTTGATATTTCGCCTTTTTCGAGGGGTGTAAAATGGCAGTGTATTTTTTTTCTCTTTCTTCCATGGAAATATAAACAAATCACGTGAACGATACGAAAGGAGGTAGTTGTTTAGAAGAAGAACTCATTTTTGCGAATTGAATCTTTCATCGGCGCGTTTCGGTTTGGTAGGGCACCGAATTGTCCTCAGCAAAACTTGTACAGACTGCCTTGTAAAGACCGTTAATACTTGTAACTATAGTGACTCAAATGTACCATTTCGCCGCTTCACACGAGTTAAATTGAACCTTGTCAGTTAGCACGAAATAACAGCAGGAACTAGTAAAATTTCGAATTGCCCCTCATGCCGCCCAGCGCTCTCTGGTCTAACTTTATATTCTAGGCTTGGCAACGGATATCGCGAAGTTTAGCTCGTATGGGCAGCGGCGCCACGACGACAGAAGGTGAGTCAAAAGTTGCCATTGCATCTCTTCTTGGTTTGATGTAAAATTTTCTAAAATAGTATTAGGTGGTGAAAAATCGTCGTATGTTCCTGGCCCGTCTCATTTGACAACGCTGCTCCACATTTTCCCACCATTGTTCGATCATGTGGCCCGTCATATCTCTGTAGATGAGCTGAAAGCTGAACAGCTACCGTCAGTTCTAGAGGTGCAAAGCTTTTCTAATTTTCTGTCACGTTGGAACTGCTATTTTGTTCTGTGGTTTAGAGTCTCGTGAACGTTCCTGTACCAACAGAGCAGGTTCCCTTTGTAGTGCATTCAACACAGTCACATATGTCCCCTACTCAGGAAGCGGTGCTCGAAGCTATTCGATCGATTTACAATGTGGGTTCTATTTTACCTCTGTAGTATTTGTATCGAAAAACTGTTACGCAGCGTCCAGACTTCGCGACGGTGGCGCTTCGACCACGCGTTGACGCGATCAATGCGCATGCTTTCAACTGCATCGATCGCGTCGAGCGCGCGATCGAAGCGCTGCCGTCGCAAAGACTGAGTGCTGATTTACCTGGGTTTCTCGTATATTTTCGCGATAGGTGAATTTCATTATGACACGTTCATAAGACACCGTTCGGACTTCGCAGTGACGTTGCACTTTACTTGACGCGTTAAAATCACAACAGCACCCCAATCCTATTGACGCGAGGACGGCCACAGACAAGAATCGATTGGGGGGGGGGCGATTGTGTATGTTGGAAAAGAGGGGTACGAGTCACATAAATGGGCAGTCTGGTATCGATCTGCACTGGCTGGAGCTTAGAGAGTATAGAAGAATGGCATAGTTCTAGATTGAGTGAAAGCGGCGCCTGCGCCTCCGCCCCCTGTTATCCAACACTTCTCAAAACACAAGCGAAAAGCGTCGATCGATTCCTTCTGCGGCTGGGTTCTCGTCTGTAAGATCGGAGCGCTGTTGCAACTCTGCTCGTTGACACGCGTTACAGCGCGTCGTCGCGTCATCGCGAAGTCTGAATGTTGTCTGAGGGCTTGAAAACGGGTCGGGTATGAAAATATGCTACAGCTGTATGGTCATCATGCCGCAATTGAAAGACACTCAGGAATTCAAGAAAAACTTGAGTTTGCAAACCATTCGAGATAAGGCGAATGGTTGCCACGGTTTGTGGGCCTAAAACTTGAAAAAACTCGCTACAGTCAAGTTCAGCACATAATCACGGAGAAAAAAAACCCAAAATTCTCGGCGAGGGAATTACAGAGTTGTTCGCTGCGTGTCAGAGGGATGGGTTGAGCTTGACGGTAGCTCGTTTTTTCCTTTTTTTCAGCAAGGGACAAGTCTATATCGTACCGTTAAAAATGATCGTTTTCCACCAATTTTTGTCGCTGACCCACTTTGTGACTCGTGGAGAAGGGGCTGGCGCGCGCCAAATCTAACCTCTCTGACACGCCGCAGTATCCGCAAAGAACGAAGCTGTATACAGCGGCGCGTGTGAAACAGGAAAATCAACAATCCGAACATTTTTCTCACGACCAAGTGTGACCATTGCGCCCGCACCCCCCCCCCCCACCCCCATGCAGCCAAATACGAATGTCTCCGTTGTGATCTGCTCAGCGGTGGATGGACTCTGATCAAGTTGTTCAATTTGGAAAACCGCCGAGAAAGGTGACCATGGGCTAACTAGA